ATGGTTGAAGAGTTCCACTGTGATAATCTAGAAATGCCACTACAGGCAGAGGAAAAATAATAAAGAAAAAGCTTTTCCTACTATGACTAAGCAAATGCGGAACATTTTTTACTCTGCTCTCATTAGGTCCTAAAGGAGCTAATGTTCCAGGGTTAATGATTTAATATTTTAACTTTAATTTTTAATTTGTAATTTGTATTATATATACCCAAAAGGTATTTGGGACAAAGCATTAAGAGGAGCAAGCTCATGTTAGGAATGCAAGAATCCAATACCTAGGAATTACAGTAAGTAGGATAATCTCACCTGGAATTGGAATCTCTGGTCTTCAACACCTCCCTCTGGCCCCCTTATGAGGCCTGCACATTATTATACATATTAATCTCAGTTGCATCCTGTAACTATAATACTAAAGAATTGAAGGTGTCAGAATAAAACCATATACATTACTGATCTCTATCCAACCAGATCCTGTTCATAGAATATATGGGAGGGGACTATCAGCTAGGTCTGGAAAGTAAAATGGAGTAAATCAGTCAACTATTCAGAGCGTTACTAGGCTTCAAGGATGGAACATCTTTGGCATAAGCTGTAGGTAACTGGACGTTTTTGCATGAAAAGATGGTATTGAATGGTAAAGAATCTCAACAAGAGGCCAATACGTTCGCATCCACCCTACAATAATCAGAAGAGTCTAGAACTCTGAGGAACAATACTGTAACCGGTATGGGTACTTGGTTATTGGTTTTGTTTTATGTTTTGTTTTAAGTATCGCTTTGATACTTGGTTTGTTTTAAGTATCGCTTTGATACTTGGTTTGTTTTAAGTATCGTTTGATACTTGGTTTGTTTTATGTTTTGTTTTAAGTATCGCTTTGATACTTAAAGAGTTTTACCAAAGTGTATCGATTGATACCTTTGATTAGTTTCGTTCATGCTAGACATGAACAGATTTGTGTATTTAAAGACCGCCTGTTTCTACGATGGAAAAGGCAGACTTCGACAGACAGTATTTCAATATACTTGGTTGAACGGTTACTTCATTGTTCCCCAGTACACCCTCAAAGCCTCCTTTAGTTCTCAGCTCTCGCCTCCTCTCTGGAAGAGCAGGCCACCTGCCAACTATCGTATCTATTACCGACAACGTGATTAGCACCTTGCAAACACGTTACAAATACCATAGAACTGAATGGACTTTACGGAGTATTACAACTAGGTTTTGAAACACGTTGTAGCTACAATATTGACCCCCAATTGGGGCCACCTCAGTTCAACTTAAGAACTAGGCCACAAGTCTAAAGACTCTAATAATCAGATAACTACTATTAGCAACAGTATGGTTCCGAGTTAGTTATATTGTAATTACCAAAGAGGGTGTGGTGATTTTTAGTGTCTCCCAGTATTCGCACCTTTTAAGAATACCTGACATTGCAAGTTATAATCAGAGAGGTACATAGTTGTATAATAAATAGATGTAGTCTGCAAACACTCAGATGTGGAATATAAATATCGAAGTACCTCCCAAGCTTTAGACATCATCAAGCAATGGAGAAGAGACCTTAACAATATAATATTATTCTTACAATTCTACATTACTTTACCAAATTTACTTTACTCTTAGTAGTCATAAATGAAACAAATAAATTCGAGCCTTTCGAGATATTCTCCATCTACAGAAATGAATCTTTATTAGTCCAGACAATTCTAAAGTCTATCAGATTGTCTCCGCCTAACACCCTATAAGGGGGACCGGAGGGGGATGTTGGAGAGCAGGAATTCCAATTTCGGGTGAGGTTACCCTACTTAGAGCAACTCCTAAGTATTGGATCCTGGTATTCCTAATATTACTGGAAGCCTATTGGTGAGGTACCCAAAGTCTGTTGCCCCAAAAGTATTATAGTATTAGAAAATCATTAAAGGACTCTAAGAACCTAGTCTGAGGTCACAATGAGACCTACTTCTAGGAGGGTTGACTGTGGATAGTGTCTATTGGTAGTCAACCTCCACAGGTGTCTATCGGGGAAGCTATGTGGCTATCATCTAGAATAACATGGAATAAATTAGAACCTGATATATGTTCCGAGTCTGCCAATCCTGGTAGAAGACTATGTGAATATGGATAGAGAGTTCCATTGTTCATATTACATCCACTGCGGCATGATAGAATACCACTGACATGTCTATGATAAGAAGAGTTTTTACTCCTTCAGTTGCATTGTCAATAAAGTGGCTAAAACACCTCTGTCGGGTGGATGTTAGCAAGCCACGGAGTAGTCAACTTTGCTATAGAGAATGTCTGGTCCAATCCGTAAAGGTTAGCTAAATAGCACAAAGAGGTTGTAAGCTCACAAACATATAGTAGTAATGGTGAGCAACTGGCAGTATATGAAATCTACTTAAGTATGTACAAGTTCTGCTCTACTCTGGCAATCAACTACCTTTTAATATCAGGACTTAATTGAGTAAAGCTGTGGCTTAACAATACTAAGTTTTACTATTTTGTTTCTTCAAAATCTACTGCTAAGACTTTCAGATTTTATTACATTTATTTGCAGAAGAATTCATCTCAGTGCAGTTACAACCTCGGCATCTATCTTCCCAAAGTGAGCCCCCATTATACATCAATAGGCACTAACCAAAGTAAACCCTCCTTGAAGTAGGTCTTATTGTAACCTCAGACTAGTATCTTAGAGTCCTTAACGATTCTCTAATACCATTACATTTTTATGGCAAGTGACTTTGGTTACCTTACCTATAGGCCTCCAGTAATCTCACATACTACTACTAACTTCAAAGTTGTTTTACTCTGTCAGTTCTGGTCCGTTTTGAATGAAACCACCTGGAGGCCATTCTTTATGCTCTCCTCCTTCCCCGCATATATCCTAGAGACTACATATGATTGACCGGACACTGTGAGCGTATGCGGTGTTACAGGAGCATCTTTACCTGTAGACTTTCACTAGACTTACAGCAACTCTCCAGGCTATAGCCTATAATGCTAGAGACTTATAATGGGACTAGAGGGGGATGTTAGCCACCACACCTTTATGTTAGAGCTTATTTGAAGCTCTACTGGTTGTGCAGGAGTGATCCGCACAATCTGAGATTCAAACACCCTCTGTAGTTTTATATGACAAACAATCTAGTAACTTCCCCTGAAGTCCTGCATAACAAGTTACTTCCAAGGTAGGGTAACTTGGCTCCATAGCTGTGTAACTCTAGTCTGAAGGTAAAATATCTCTACCTGGATTCACCATCCAGCAATTCAGGGTTATTCCCAAATTAACTACATGGGTTACCCTACCCAGTAGGGTAACCACCACTCCTTACTAGTATTTATGTATGATACTTCTTAGTATGGCATAGCATGTCCAACTGAGGTACCTAACTAACAGTACCTCTACTTGGTAGACTCTGGTCTACCAATATTCCTACTAAGGCAGTCTCTTAACACCAGTATGGGTATAAGTTTGACTAACTGTAATAGTACTCCATGGAGTCTCATTACAGTTGTAGGACAATGATGTGCAAGTTTTGGAGGATTAGCTACCATATCCACAAGATCTCAATCCTATTGAACCTTTTTGGGTACACCTCAAGAAGCTTTACCATAAACATTATACTCACTTAGTTGAAGATACCAGCTCAGCAGATAAGGTAAAGCCACTCATAGAGGAAGCCCTTATTCATTGTTGGGAGCTGATACTAGACTATTTGTTTAAAGAATTGGTAGAAGGTATTCCTGGATGGATTAATGCAGTTATCAAGGCAAAAGAGTGGTATACTAAATTTTGAATTGATATTTTGTATTTATCTCTTCTATTCTATCTATTATAAACAAAATTCTACCTCTATAGGTATATTTGATATTACATGGGGAGTTGATGTGGTGGGTTGTGGGCGGGCGAGCGCTGTTGTCATGCACGGCAACGATCAATTTTGTCACCACACTGTATATATGCCGCATTGTTGTTTATCAATGGGGATCATTGGATATAAAATGACACCCTGTTTAAAGTTGACTTCGGTTTTCAATATCTGCGATCGGGCCAGGCCTAGCTGGATGAGCCCTAGAAAACGGACCGCAGCCGACAGTCCGGCCATGCCTATATGATACTATCGCAGAAAAAGCCCGGGCGGGACTAGCCGCATGCTAACACTCGGCTTTATCTTAGCGCTCTGTTCTTTTGTAAATCTCTTGCTGTCGTTAACTAGTTGAATATGGTGTTTAGCTTGTTTCGAGGACCTATTTTGAGCCCATTTGCGCTACGAGTAGAGGGGTTGTAGAGCGAGCATATATCTATCTCTTTCCTCAAACTATTCCTGTTTATCAGCGGACTCTCCTTTAGGAGAGAAAAACAATTATCAAACCACGTTCACAAACTTCCATGTTCTCGCATCACCACAGGATATTCTCAGGGCAGGCTAGCCCGTCTAGTCCGTCCATCTTCTATAACGAGACTACCAAGTCCACGTCCTCTTCTCCGGACGATCTGGCTTGACACGGACGGTCTCTAGTCCCCCTTGTCCAGTTTGGCGCGTTGCGGTGCCCCCGTACCGTAGGTGTGTGTCGAGGTTCAATTCGCCCCCGTTAGTATGATACTAGTCTTTTTGTATCCTTCGGTTTAACCCTTGGGAGGAAATTCAACTATCGGTACTGTACTCAATGTCGACTACGCTTGGCGTGGTACAGTACAGTACGGTAGGCTTACACTATTGGTGGTTTTTGTTACCAGCTTCGTGTCTTAAGGCCGCGGCTCATACCTTACAAGTATTATATTATACCAACATTAAGAATGTGTTCCTTGGTGAATCATTATTCTGTGCTAAAACTTAGGTCTGATTTTTCCGGCACCCGGTCCCACAGTATGTGAACTCATCGTCCGGATACCCGGGTAGATGATGCTCACCAAAGGCACTCGGATATCATGTCTCACCATTCACATTGAATCTTTATTCACATTGAATCTTTCCTCATAAGGCAAGCAAAAAAACAAAATGTTGGTTGAAAAAAAGGGTTAACCAAAGCCCCAATATTATGCCGACAATCGGATGCTCTCCTCGAAGAGAAAGTAGCTCGCCAAAAAGCCACCCAACTCTAAGTATCCAAAAACGCTACAATACAATAGGGCCTAAAAAAAAACCAAACGCCAGAAACCAGAGACCGAGATATACTACAGCAAGCAGGAGAGAAAAGGCTGAAGGGGTTCAACCCTTTAACCCAACTCGCTAATAAGATCCCAATCCCCAATCACCGACTCCCCATCATCCAGCACCGACCAGTCATCACCGGCCTCACTCCTAGCGCCAACCTCCTCCCCAACACAGGAAGCGACTTCAACCTCCTCTACCTCCTGATCATATAGTATCCCCAGCCGATACAACTCCTACCACCACCCCTCATCATTAGCCATCTCCCTCTGCCTCTCCCTCTTATTCTCCTGCGTAGGCGAAGGGAACTACTCACAGCGTCGCTAGCCGCCAAACCTCCCTCGCTCCATTCCCACTGGACATCACGATCGACCTGATCGTAAAGGTACCTCGCCTCGCAACGCACGCGGTCGAGCGAGTTCCGAGCCCATTTACCATTCCCCCTGGGTCCGCGCCTGAAGTCGGCTCTGTAAGGCATTTTTGGCGAGTTCGCAGTTTTCTTCGTGCGTGCTTGTAGTAGTTATGTTGGGGGATTTGCGAAGGAAGAAGGCAAATATATACCCAGGGTGTTGCTGGTATATTGTGCGGTTTATCTAGCAATGGTAGCCGTGAAGAGCTCTGGTAGAAGGTGTTGGTAAATAGCAGCAGTGCTGACGCCTGGATTATATACAATTTTCCCCCAAAAGTTTGACTCATTAACTTATGACTCTGCCTGAGCTGGATCATCTTGGCCTTAGGGTCCCCGGAGAAGGCTAGGAGCATACCGGTAATACTTGTACTCGAAAACAGGGATTCGCAAAATGTATAGAAAAATGGGAAAAAGGAAAACAATAGCGGCGTTTACGAGTGTTCATACAAATTCACCACCCTCTCGCCCCCTACTAGCAACAGCACTCGCACACTAGCACCGAGTGATCCTAACGGCGTCGCAACCAGTCAGAAATAACTTCAGCCACCACTGGACTCAACCATACAGTACGGTACCCGAGTACCATAGGCTATCAAGGTTTTGCCGCCATGGGCTATGTTGATTAGCTTGGGTTACAAGCCGCGATTAGATATGGAGGTGAGTGACTCATGGCGCTTTGGTGGGTTTTGATTGAGTGCTGCTGGTATACTTATCATCAGGCAGTACCACAACTGAGTGATTTTGGTGAGTCAAAAGAGATGAGGTTTCTCTATGATACGATTCCCATATTTATTAGTTCTCTGCCAGTGCAATGTACCGTACCAGTACTCGAGTATCATACTAGTAGCTACAACATTGGTGACTAAATTTCGGTGGTGAACCTTGTCATGAATTTATATGTCCAGTTCGTCAGGCTTCCTCGAGAATATCGTACGAGTAGTCGGTCACCAAAGCCCCGGCCCTACCGGTATATGAAAACCCGATTGAAACAGTCCCCCCCATTCTACAGGATTCCACCACAATAATTATCATACTATGATATCACAAGTCAAGTTACTCCACAATGATACAATACTCCACAAACAAACCGTCCCCGAGAAAATTAAAATACATTACTATCGCCCAAATGACTATTATATGGTATCACGGTTCCGAAAAACACTTCATCCTGCCCATCGCACCCTACCCACACACATCAATACCGGTATCCACTGCAGCGACATAGCGTACCCTCCAAAACTTAATCCCGCTCGCCAGCAGGATCTATTCTAGGAGCAGTGGTCAGATTCTCGTTCTTCCCGTTGTCGAGAACGAGAATGTCGTCTTCGATTCTGACACCGCCTACTGCCCAGTACTCTTCAAGGACCGTCTTGTTAATATACTGGTTGTGGACGGGGTGGTCAAGGAAAGCTTGGATTATGAATCTTGAGAAGTAGCTATGGATTGTTAGCCCGGTTGCGTGGGTAAATGGATAAAAGTTGGGAGTTGTTGGGATCATACATTCCAGGTTCGACAGTAATGACCATCCTGGGCTCTAGTATTCTGCGCACCACGGGGCGGTATAGTCCACGTCCTAACATTGGTTTTGGGAGAGAGGCGATGGAACCTAGCTGGCCTACAGCGGGCTTCCAGTCGACATCCGGGGCGCCCTCGACATCATGAGTGTCCAACCCAAGAAAGTGACCAATGCCATGGGGGAAGAAGGCACGGCTAGTTCCACATTGGAAGATTTCTTCTGCCGTGCCATTGTACATAATTCCCAACGACATTAATCCCTTGATGGCAATCCTATGTGCGAGGAGATGTGTATCTCTCCAATCCACGCCGGCAACAGTCTTTTTGATGCATTCCCTCTGCATCTCATCAACAATATTATATATTTCACTGGCTTCTTTAGTCCATTTCCCGGATATCGGGTATGTGCGAGTGACATCGCTCGCATATCCGGCCCATTCTGCACCAGCATCAATCAAAAGCAATTGTTTCTCCCTGAGCGGCGCGTCATTGCGAGTGTAGTGTAGTGTTGCGCAATTCTGCCCAGAGGCAACAATTGGCTCATATGCCTGCGTTCGGGCGAGCTGCGCAATACAAGTCTGGACAAATATTCCTTCCAGCTGAGCTTCCGTTTGAGCTGTTTGCACCGCTTTTAGCACAGCACAATGAGCATTTGCTGAGATGATATTTGCTCGGCGGAGCAAGTTGATTTCGTAATCATCCTTATAAACCCGGCAATCATCAATTGCGGGTTGGAGGTGCTGATCGGAGATAAATCTCCGAGGGATCTGTGGGGGGATCCGTGAAACTTGATGATGAATAGTATAAATTGGAGAGGATTGAAACGTGAAATGGAACTCCATTATCTTATCAGCTATTGAAGTAGAGTAGAGAACTTCGTCCACGTCATACCTAAGGATTCGTCAACTCCTTAGTTGTTGCGGTGTGTGAAAGGGGGGCTCAACAAACTTAAAGATGCAGTCCGTTATTGAGGGCGGAAAACCAGACCAGAGAACTTGATTCGGATCAAAAGGCGGAATATATCTACAAGCTTGCAGTATTAGCACTCCTCCGACCTCTCTCCAAAGCCCATGAGAGAGTCGTACAGAATTAACTTGTCCTGAGCGATTGAATATGTGACGAAACAATCCGGCATATCCACGACTCCCGTGAGGTACAAGAAATATCTCTTTTGACGGAATTTAACCGGCTCGTCCGAGTCCTCAAAAAGCACCTCCGGCATCCCTTCTAGGTAGATAAGACCGCTACGAGTGGGTAGTCGTCGGGCCACATTTCGGGCGTGTTGCTTCGCTGCAAACAGGTTAGAAACACGAGGAAAAACCATTATTCGCTGGGCCCATTGACACCTGGATACTTTTCCATTGAGTCGGCGGCGATATGTATGTTGAGAATGTCAGCCGGTCTGTGATGAATACGGGTCAGAAAAGAATGAAGAGAAGGTAGCAACTCCAAGGGGGACGAACTGTTGGCCTCCAGGTTTGCTAAGAGCAGGTTTCGCTACCATATTTGGGGAATTCTATTGTTGTAAGAGTGATACGGGAATCCTGCAACTGTGAGAGGAAGAGGGAAGTTGCAGACCGTGAGGAGGGAGTTTACACCAGTGCCCGGTTCGGGAATGAGTTTGCGCTATCCCGGCACTGTGCGTACGGCGAAAAGATTGACGTCTTTAGATAGCTATAATACCGGGTACGGCAATCGAGGGCCCTAATTAGAGCTTGAGTGAGGGTTACTCGCGCACCCGTAAAATTATTTTGATAATATTATTAATAATATGATACAAGAGGAAAGCGCAGTAAGTGCCAGGGTAGAGGTTTCTATGGAGTTTGGTGTGCGGGGGAGTTCTATTTACATTAATTTTCTAGGAATCGTGCGAGGGAGCTAGGTCCGTGATGGGAAGACGCGCCACGAGTTAGCTAAGGTAGGAACCCTTATCGTTAGGTATCACAAGTACCCATCGTACCCCTGTTCTAAGACTTTTCATACCGCTCATAACCAGTCGGGAGCCTCAAAGTAGGGTAAGTCTACCCCGTTGCTTGTCGTCACCTTGAACTTGACCACTCATTGCACCCCACCTTTAACAAACATCCACTACAATATCTCAAACAATGGATAGACCACGAGGCGGAGGATTCAGAGGGCGCGGCGGAGGCGGTGGTGGGCGTGGAGGTCGTGGTGGAGCCGGAGGGGGCGGTGGTGGAGGTGGTCAGGCCGGGTACAATAAAGATCAACAAGAGCGGAAACCTCGCGAGGCAATCTTGGATCTGGCAAAATTTATGGATAAGGCAATCACTGTGAAGTTTAATGGTGGTAGGGAAGGTGCTTCTCGCCCTACGCTCTAAATTTTGTGGATACTGACAGTTAATTCTGCTCCAGTTGTGGGAATATTAAAAGGCTACGACCAACTCATGAACCTCGTCCTAGATGATGTGAAGGAAAACCTTAGAGGTTCGTTCCATATAATAATAACTAGCATATACTCAAGTATTGAGCGCTAACCATAATTACCTGATAGATGAGGATGGAAACGAGACAACACGGGAATTGGGTCTGGTCGTTGCGAGGGGTCCGATGTTGACCCTCATCTCGCCAATGGATGGTAGCGAGCAGATCGAGAACCCGTTCATGACGCAGGAAGGGTAACTGGGAAGCATTATCTTGTCTCTCTAAATGGATTGTCTTCTTTTCGAGAGAGCTTAATATCATGGGATTTTCTTGTGATTGGGTTTTGGCGTTAGTTCTTCCATTAATAAAAGGGGGTCACACTGCCTGATACCGGTTTACAGTCGCGAGACAATAGTCTTGGTGAAGCGAGGTTACCCTTTGCCTCTTGAATGGCCCACCCCCCACACAGACTGCCAATTGCGCAATACATCTCCCTTCTAGTAGCGCCGCAAACCACGTAGAGTGGAATTCAGTTTCACCGATGCTCTTGTCTAGTTACTCTTCTCCTCGTTCTCTTATACCTTCGCGAACCCTGAGCTATTGGTGATGTTAGATGATCGTGGTAGGGTTTGCTCTACTTGACCACTGCGGCCGGCAGTCTGGCCGATCATAGTATGATAGAAACCATACAGGATCACTCGATATTCACAGAAATCACATTGTCACGGAAAGTTTTCCCTACAGATTCGAAAGGGCACTCACCCTCTTTGTGATGTTAGATATTATGATATATTGTTAAATCGTGTATCTAGACAAATTCGGACCACTCTCTAGCACAAGCTAATCACTGTTTGCCTCGCTTTCTTAAATTTTATGCTCTTTCAAGCTATTTGTAAAGGGATTGCAGCTAACTAATTGGTAGACACCCGATGCTTCAGGGTAGGAAATAAGAGAATAGAAGGAAAATACAGGAACGCCCCAATATACTACGCCCAAGTCTGTGAATCTCATGTGTGGTGGTAGTATTTCATCCACAAAAAGGTCGTGAGGTCGTATCTAAAGAACATTATCGATTGCAAACATTGTACTAACTATTCGGTCCGTCTAAATAATTTCAATATCCATGCAGGAAGTATACCACTAAAAGTGTTCCCATTAGCAACGAATCCCTTATTGTTCCCCCGGACAGTAAATGGGGTGGGGTGCAGATACATACCTCCTCAACCCTAGGCTTATCTCGGCCAAAATGCCACGAGAAATCCCAAACCCAGTAAACAGTGTAAACATCCCCAACGTTCAGGTCCTCCGGGATCACAAACTCCGATCTACATGGCTTCTCAACCCCCGCTGCTCCCACCCCACGCTGCCCAGATATGGGGGAGCCATTGGGTTGAGTGCACTTTCCATCGTCGTACAGCCTCGCCTGGAGAAGCCTGCCCCTCTTGTTCCCTCCCTGGCCGTCGGCGGTCCAAGCCCTCACCTCCCTCAGCGGGAGTTTCGGGTCGGGGTTGGAGGTGCCGAACCAGTACGTGTAGCCTGAGAAAGCTTTCCCCGAGGGAGGGAGGGATACGTGACCATTTTCGAGGTAGTAACCTGCCACCGTTTGTCCGCGGCTGGCCCTAAGACGGGGAAAACCTGGGTGGTTGGCGCGCACTTGCTGGGTCTCCTTGCAGATCGGCTTGCTATCCCAGTCCGGGCCTTCGATGCGGTAAGTCATGCGGGTGTCGACGCTGGCGTCCTTGCCAACTGGTAGGTAGGTAGGTAGGTAGGTTGTTAGTTTTTGATGTTCTTATTTCATGCTATGGGGGTGGATGGAGGAGGGGAGGAAAGGGCTCACTCCAGCTTCTTATGTAGCCTTTCGTGCCCGGGCCAACTGCCTCTAGGGCCTCGATCTGTAAAACGAATGTTAGCACTCTGAAAAGTTTTATATATATCTTCGGCCGATCCTCTTACCCAAGAGTGGGAAACAGCGTTCCCGGCGTGGAGTAGCAGCAAAGCTGCAGTGGTGATAAAGTAAAAATGCATTATGTTTTAGCAAAAGTGAGATTGGTATAAAGATTGTTTCCTCCAAAAAAGAAAGGATAGTTAAGAGAATGGAAGCGGCTTTCTCGAAAATCTCGCAAGGTGTGTAAGTATCTTAATGTTGATATGAGAGAGCGTGAGTGTGGAAGAAAGAGCTCGAAAATAAAAATATCAAACGGCTCTTTATACAATAATTATGACGATCATAGAACTGGAGGCGATTTACTTGATTGTATACCTTACACACCCACCTACGGAGACCATTCAAGTTGGAAAATAGCCAAGATGGGGAGCCATTCAAGTTGAATAGTGTCGAACGTTAATGGTAGTTCATGCCATGAATCGCCATTGTATTCCGGACGGTAACTACACACCGGCAACACGAGGTTGCCAAAAGTGAGAACAATACTTGCAAACCCCATTCCACTGTGATATACATAGTCTAGTCCCAACCACTAAGACTCACTCAACCCAACTTGAATTTATCCCCCAAAATCGTATGAAACGGACAAAGAAGTGCATTTTTTTTATATAGGGCTGGGGGTGAAAAGTAGGGCTAACGCAAGACAGGCAGGGTTTCTGCTTGACGTCCAGCCATTACATCATGGCCTCTGTTCAAGTCTCATAGTCCCGGATTCTATTTTCAAGGTGAATAGAATCCCCGGTTGTGGTATAATATTGAGGGAGGCTGTGGTCATATGGAGTCACTCGGTGGGGTTACTGTGGTCGGAATATACCGGATTCCACCCAACTTAGAGCGTTGCTGATATGCTCTGGTAGTTCTTTTTTCCTCTAAGATAGAAGATGAGAGCGAGGTAGACTACCTCGGGGTTATTTCCTTGTGTAAGCGTTTTCCAAGTCGGTACCTACACTATACGACCTCGTTTCACTGTTTCATTTTCTGCTTCCGGTACCTGAACTCACCACTCCACCGAGCTACAAGTACTGTACAGTACAGTGCTGTGGGCGCCACCCATAATCTACCAAATTGGGTCGAGGGTGAGGCAACAGCCACTTTTGGTCTACCGTACTCGTAGACCCACCCTAATTTTTCAAGTTCCTAACTGCAATTTCCCTAAAGCTTATCTAGACGGTATCATACTACGATATATGATACCACCAGATTGGGACCAAAGCCGGACACACGGTATTAGAACCCACTACACTACTAACTCTATTGTACTAATTACCGCAAAACCAGCAACTCATTCCGGAAGTATGATATGCCTGTACAGTACCCCCATTTTCCCATCCTCTCTCGCTCACCCACAACCACCTTTACCAATACATCCACGACCCGCGAACCCACCTCTAACTTACCCTTCGGCGAGCTCTGCAATAATAACAAGCAAACCCGAGGTCCCGGCGTCCGGGGGTATATCACGGTAGGGACGTTACCGTCCTATCTATCTATCTAACATTATCGCATAACTCTCTTCGCCTTCGCCAGATAACCACCACACTTGACCGCTAAACATCTGACTTGGTCAGTTCGTAAATACCCTATAGTTTTGAGGAGAGCACGAGTAAGTTTAATGGTAGGTACGGTGGCGCTCCGTTGACACATTGGCGAAAAGAGAGTTGTCGGTGGAATGAGGGAAAGTGGAAGCCCAAGTATAAATAATTTACCGGGAATATGTGGGGCTATACCGGTATGCTACTGTTGTGAAGAGATGGGTATTTTGTACTGTATTTCGCTACTCGAGTAGTCGTCGCCCGTAGATGGGTGTGCGTGTCCTGGAAGATTTTCCAGGGAAGTGCTGGTTGGCCGTGTTTCCGTCGGAAATGAGTCACCAAGGTGGGAGGCGGCGCCGTTAGCTGGTACGGTAGATTATAGTGCCGTACAATAAAGGACAAATTGCTCTGCACTGTATATAAATGAAGGTCGATCTGACTGAGAGTACAGTTTTCCGGATTGTATGGATTACGATTCTGTTGCGCGCTGTATGGCATCACACCGGTACCGTGGCTGGCCCTTTCACCGCACGAAAGAGTACCGGTACTGCACGGACTGGGGGCTGGATTTTGGCATCTGGCTAAGGATGTATATGCCGCACCATCGCTCACAACGAGTTTCATTACATACAGAATCTCTACTAGTGATGTTGATAGAGAAAATGACAAAAGCTGACACGGGCTCGCTGAGAGGGGCGCTCGCTCGGTCACAAATTCCACCCTATTACCAACTCATAAAGCAAAGTTTTCTTTTAATACACCACCAAAATGAAGTAGCAATACCCCAATCCTCGCCCAACGAAAGAAAGTGAGAACTAACAGCTAGGAACCATGAAGGATCTAAGATACGTTGCTAATAACAAATCAAATTTCATCGTCTGGACTTGCTGAGGTCCTGAAAACATGATTCAACTTGTCGTTTCAGCTATCCGATCATGAAATCAGTTACCACACACAAGTGGGGGGGGGGAACGTGAAGGTACTTGCCTCCTTATAGGTGACTACAAAACAATTCATGCTGTCTCTACTGACCAACATGATCTTCTCGTCTACCCCAGCGTCCAGTTTATTCAAACAGGTAAGAACATGGGCCATATCAACGACAGGATTATTGCTCTCGTCGACAGAATGGAACACGTAGTCCCTAAAGAGCTTTAAGTAATATCTGTCACCGGTCTCACTCCATCTTGGATCATGATCGTACTCGGGTCGCTCGTTGATGAAGCCGAATTTACACAAAAGCCGCACTAGCCTACCGTTCTCTAATTCTCGAGAGAGCGCCGACTCTAGTGAATCTTCGTAGTGTAGAGCACTATCGAAATTTTGGAAGGCTTGGTTGGCTATGGATTTGACGTATTCGTCTATATTTTTCGTTGATCCGGTATAAAGGTAGTAAATGCTGTCCCGAAGTTGAATGGAGTAATGACGACCAATGTATTCCATGCTCTTCTGGGGATATTGAATAGCTGAAGGGGTATTAAATGCGATTGAGAGCATGAGACGACCTAACTGGATAAGGTCTTCTTGTTGACACTCCCGAACCGACTCCTGGCTGCGTGTAGTCTCCGGATGGATGACGTCGAAAATCCCACAGCAGTTGAGACGTATCCTATGATAGAATCATTAGGTCCATTTACCCATAAGCATTACTCGTTGATATGTAATTACCTCATTTTATTTGTGAGTAGGATTTTCGACGGTTCAATCACTCGGGCTGCTAATCCTGCACTATGTATGACTCTCAATGCAGAAGCGATCTGGACAATATAGCTCCAGAGAACTTGTTCTGGAACTATTGGGCCTGTGGGTTGATGCTGCCTCGTAGGATTCGGGTATCTTGGGTTAGGTCCAAAGTGAGTCTCAGCCAGTGTTTTCGACAATGGGTGGTAATCATAGACGAAGACGA